AAAGAAGGAAGGAAGGAAGGAAGGAAGGAAGGAAGGAAGGAAAGAAAGAAAGAAAGAAAGAAAGAAAGAAAGAAAGAAAGAAAGAAAGAAAGAAAGAAAGAAAGAAAGAAAGAAAGAAAGAGAAAATCACTATATGGAAGAGGTATTTGCGCACCTGTGTTTATCACAGCACTCTTCACGATGATCAAGACATTGAATCAACTTATGTTTCCATCACAGATCAATGGATTTAAAAATCTGATATATATACACAATGGAATATTATTCAGACATCAAAAGAATGAACTCCTGTTACTGTAGCACCATGAATAGAACTGGAGATCATTGTGTTAAGTGAAATAAGCCAGACACATTAAGATAAATATATCGTGTTTTCACTGACCTGTGAGAGCTAAAAAATCAGATCTCATGGAGGTGGAGAGGAGGATCGTGGTTCCCAGAGGTGAGGAAGTGGAGGGGAGAGAGGCAGACAAGGGGTAAAAAAATACAGTCATGTAGAAGGAATAAGTTCTAGCATTCTGCAGTACTGCAGGGAAATTATGCTTAACAATAATTTATTGTATATGTCAAAAGAGCTAGAAAAAAAGTCAGATAATGTTTCCAACAGAAGGAATGCAAATGTTGGAGATGATGGATATCCCAATTATCCTGATTTGATGGTTACGCATCGTGTACAGATATCAAAATACCCCAAAAATATGTACAACCAATATGTCAAGAAAAAAGAGAAATATTATAGATTCTAATCAATATTTTAAAAAAGATAAGAAACAATCTCCTTGAGAAAAATCCCTCGGGGGGCCCAAGGCACAGCTGCAGGGTGGCGGCCTTGCCCCAAGTGTCTGGCGTTGCTAACCCAGCAGCGTTGAACAGCGTCATCTCCTGCTGGCATCGTTCCTCCCTGTGTGAGTCCCCATCCTCCTTTCCACCTAGCCTCTCTTCTTCCTTCTTGAATCGCAGCAGATGGGAAGATGAAAATGACCTTTTTCAGGCCCTGGCAGCCCTGGTGGGTGAGATACACTGCAGGGATGTGGAGGGGAATGGGCAGATGCCTGCATATCACTGGTCAGCCCAGGGTGGAGGTGTCTGGTTTGCTTGGCAGCATGATGTCCAAGCACTGGATATGGAGAGATTCGGGAGCACTGTGGCTCCAAGCTGGCTGCAGCAGGAGCGGCTCCTTGGTTCCAGGTGGTTCTGGATTCACTGTTTTCTGGATGTGATGAGTCAGCAACTCTAGCTCTGCAATATGGCTTGGAAACCAGCCTTGACAGCTCTACTTACAGCCTGCTCATTCAGCTCCACAGACGACTCTATCATAGCTCCTAATAAGTCGTTTCCTGCCTAAGCAATGTGGGCCTTGTTCTTCATAATGGAATCCTGGTGAGACACCCACGATTCTGGACTGTGGTTTAGAAGGCGGACACTAGGGCTCTGCCCATCCTGTTGCTTTGACTTCTTGACATCACTAACATCTGCTTGTGAAGTGGAGCTAACACTGGACTTTGCCACACGTTTTTATTTTTGTTTATTTTA